ATATATATATATATATATTAATTACATCAGCCTAAAACGTATCTCTCATTTTCTCCAATCCAGGTGGCTGAAGACTCTTCCTCTGGCATAGAAGGTTAAGTAGAAAGTGGATCATCCTTTAGTGATAATAGCTAAAAAGATATTGATATTACATAAATGTACTTTCCTTATATGAAGGAATAAAAATATTTTTCATTCAGCTCATATTTGTATGGTTTATTTTTCCTTTATGCATAAATTTTAATATTTTGACATGATTGTGACTGTAATTTTAATCAAGCTAATGACTGTCATGAAATATTCCTTTTGAAATTTTGTCTATCATTTCCAAATCTTAACTTATGATGAAACACATTAAATGAAATTCATGAAGAATTTGATCTATGAAAGTTATTTGTCTTTTTTTATGTTACTAGATAACATTAACTTTAAGGGTGTCAATATTTGACACGATCTCAAAATCCGACATGAACTCAACCCAAAAATTCCGGGTTAGGGTCAACCCGGACCCGAAACGGGTAGAGTTTGGGTTGACCTAGAAACCCAAGATTGACCCATTTTTGAACCGAAACCCCATCTTTAACCCGAAAACCCGAGGTTGACCTTTTTTTGACCCGAAAATCATAGATTGATTGTTTTTTTACCTAAAAACTAGCAATTTTTTGTCGACCCCGGGTCATTCGGGTCTTGTCGGGTTGACCCTGACCCAAAGCGGGTTTGATTCGAGTCCGAAAAATTGACCCGTTTGCCAAAACAGGTCATGTTCAGCTTGACCCGAATAGTGTAGGTTCAGTTTCGGGTTTGACCCAAACCCAACTCGTGACCTGAAATTGACACCCCTAATTAACTTGAGTTTAAGAGGTATACTCAAATCCCTTTGTGATTAATTATATATGGATTGGGATATGGTGCAATTATCATTTTTATCTTAAATCAAAGATGAAGATTAGTCTATGTTTAGATAGTTTATGACTTTTTGATGTCATGGACATACCCTTGCACATGAAGTAGATGTGTAATTGGGAATCATATATGAAGCTTTTATAAACAATAGCTAGTTGGAGTCATTGGTAGTATCACAAAAGATTTTTTTCAGCATTCCAAGTTTGAGATTCTTACATGAATCTTTAAATTTGAATGTTCTCAGCTTGCATATAGCAATCGCTGTATATTGTCCTTCCTAGAAAGGAGAAACTCTTTTGCATTGGGGTCCATTTCCAGTAGCTTCAAGACTTCGTAAGACTTGATATCGAATAAAGATTGGACACATCATCAAAGTTTTGATCCTAGAGCTTGGCACACTACATGTGAGCTACTATGAATCAAGATGATTCTAGAAGACCAAGGATCAAGTGGGAAGGACCTATGAAGCTACACTATGACCACAAATCAGCAATCAGTATAACCCAAAATTCAGATCAGCATGATCAGACCAAACACATAGAAGTGGACAAACATTTTATAAACAAGAAATTCGATAGTGGTCTTATTTATATATATATATATATATATATATATATATAATGTCTCATCAAAAGAACAGCTTGCCGCAATTTAACCAAGAGACTTGATAACTCTAACTTCTTAAGATTGATTAACAAGTTGAGAATAACGTGTTTGTATTCTCCAACTCGAGAGGGAGTGTTAAATCTCATCAGCCTCCTGACACTTGATCCCACATCCGAGATGGAAATCCGTGGAAGCCTCATCTGGATCACTCGGATCTTTATTAAATCTCAACCGTCCCTTGTCACTTAATCCCACGACCAGGATGAGAATTTGTGGGAAGCTCACTGGATCATGCCGATCTTCTTCCATATTTGATTGACTGATTTAGGAAGATTATATTATGACAATTATGCATGATTTTATAATTATGTTTCTTTATTAAGATATATTGTATAGGTCTATAAATAAGAATAATTTTATTCAATTAAATTAAGTCTTTTTCTTCTCTCTCTAATTCGCTGAATTTAACACTACAACAATTAAAATCCCCCAGGATAATCCAAAGTTCCTTAATGGAAGCAATATTAGATCTAATATTCATTAAAATATCCAATAACAAATCTCTCTCAGCATAAGAAGCATAAAAGGCAGAGAGACAAACTGGATGTAAGTTACCATAATAAAACTTGTCATGAATAATTTGAGGACTATTAAATGGGAGAAGTGAATAGCACCAGAGTTTCATTTCAATCAAATCCTACCTGAATGAAAGGAAGAGAAATTGTTGCAGTTGTACTTATTAAAAAATAGTTTGTGACAATTGATGAACCTGAAATCAGTCATCAAATTAATGTTTATTTTTGCTTCCAAAATAAAAAAAAGACTGATGTTGAATTGTGAATACAGTTCTTGCAGGCAAGAATCCTATCCAACACATTAAATCCACTTGTGCTCTAAGAGGCAAATCATAGGCCTTTCATTTAGGTTTAGATGAGGACTTGGTCATACCCTTGGCCTTTTGAAGGTTTTGAGGCTTTCCTGGATTTTTATTTTTACCCAGGTCTAGATTTGCAACATTGCCATGGGAGGAGAATGGGGAAGTATGGTTAAGAACAAGCCATTGTTTAGCAGAGTAAACTTATTTTGATCTTGAAAGTTTGATTTGAGATTTTATTGGAGGACTTGGATGAATCTTCATTAGTAGGATCATTAAGGTTTTGTTTGGGACGACTTTCTTACTGCTTTCTAAAGCAGCTTTTTAGTACAAAAATTAATTTTTTTTTATTAAAAAGCTGTTTTAAGAAGCAATAAGAAAGTCGTCCCAAACGAAGCCTAAGATTAATGTTTTTAACTTGTTGATGGGCAGCAGGGATGGGTATGTCTATTGTTTATGTCCGTAGAAACAACACATGTTTTAATTTTTGAGGACTTGTGAGATCTATGCTTCGTTTGGATCAGTTTTCTTAATGCTTTCTAAAACAGCTTTTTAATACAAAAAATTTTAATTCGAATAATTTTTGTACAAAAATTATTTTATAAAGTAGAAAGAAAGCTGCCCCAAACGAGACCTTGAGTAGTGAGGTGTGTGTTTGGATTGAGTTGGAGTTTGAGGCTTTTGAGTAGTCATTTGACGACGAGATTTCCTGCTCCTACTCCCCCTTGGGCAACATTGAAGAATGGTTGATTAGCCGGTTTAAGTATGGCAAAGATTGGGTGGATGAATCAAAGACCCACAACCATAATAAGGTGAAGACTTTCAATCATATTGCACACATAAGATTTGCTCATTGCCACATGTAGATATGGTAATATCATCAGCAAGAATCGAATACTTATCCACCTAAACACAAATCCGAAGCAAAAGTGAGCCTAATTTTCTCACCGTTTAAAAAATCAAATGCTAAGGGTTGCTAATCTTAATTGCTATATTATGAAATGCCTTTATGATTTCAACAGCTCAGTGGGATATCATAAATTTTGATGCAGAGAAGAATAGAGTCCAACTCATCCTCCTAGGCTTAAGTCAGAGGACCATTTCTTGAGAATGAATGGTTTTGTCGAAGTTTGTCGAGAAAAATCAAGGTCGCCAACCAAAAAGCTAAAAATCCTCAGGAGAAGTGATCTTGAAGAGAAAAATCATCATTCAACGAGAAATGGAGATATATAAATTATTACCTTTCAAATTCCAAGATTTTTTTACCATAGAGACAAGATCATAATTAGCCATTACAATTGCATAACCAACTCATTCTATTTTTTCATCAAAGAAGTGAACCAGTGGATCATTTGACAAACAAAGAGAGCGAAAATCCCAGAACTAGAGATTTTGGATGCTACGAGAGAATTATTTGAGGTGTGCAGAGGCAGATTAAAAAGGGACGTAGGCGGTAGAGGAAAAGCAGCGGAGGGTTGTGCATAAGGAGCAAGAAATCTTCATTGTTGAGGGAAATAAGCACCTTGTGGAGAGAGCAATTGGGGGACGTTTGTTAAGGGACTTTCTATGTTAAGGAGGAAGAAGGAGAGGGGAATTTCATGCACTAGAGGAGAGCCAACCTCCAGCAGAGCTAGAGGAGTGGAGGGAAGAAGGAGCACAACAAGGAAGGTGAGAAGAACGGATAGGTTCCCCTGGAAGCCCCAAGTAGCCGTCCTGTCCTTCTCTATAATTGATTTGATTCTGTCATATACAACAACTCATAAATAATATCACAGTAATTAGTACAATAAAAAAGTAAGATAACCAAATCTTTATGTTTCTCCCACTGCAGCACCTTACAATGAAGACACTACAGCAGACAACGCATAGGATTTAATCATCATCAAAAAGAAGATATTTTCAGCAGAAAAATACAACCTAACTGCTTGAATATTCAAGTTAGCCTTCCCCAGACAATTTAGACAGTGTATTCCTGGCACAATGAGAATCCTATACATCATTTCTACACATAAATAAATAGAAAAAACCTATAAATTTAAGTTTGGAAATACTACAGAGATAACCCTGTTCCCATCACATGTAGGGCAAAGGAACGGATTAATAGCTATTGGATCATACATACGGAAGACACTCAAATCGTTGAATTTCCTTTGCACAATTTGCAACTATAAAAGCCTTTGCCTTGGCAATTCGTACATGAATCGCGAGCTTCCTCTGAAACAACAATCAATTTTAAAGAAGGATAAACAATAAATCAAACTCAAAATCAGCTTTTGAAGAACCAAGAAAAAGGAAAACACCTTCTTTGCTTCAGAAATTGACTAGTGCCGAATTGCTGCCGAAGAAGCCAGTGAAACCGTAACAGACGCCGAGGAGAATCCCGGCGACGGACGCCATTGCTCGAAACGGCCGAGGGATTCCGCCTGCCATTCCTTGGAGTAATCGAAAGTTAGGGTGTGTGAGTTCCTTTGTTAGCTCATTGGTACGCATTTCATGGACATTAGAGATGGTAATGTTGAAAAAATGAATTGATAAGGAAACATTGCACTGGAAGATAGGCGGCATGAATTTTGAGCAGAAAGTGATGAGCGTGGATGAACTCAGTGAATGCAAGCTTGAATGCAGCATTAAGCAACAGTTGAGCTAAATTCTGTCAAATTCTACAAAAAAATTAAAGAGAGAGCAAGGGAAGACGAAATGGCGATGGAGAAAACCAAACCCTAGACAAGCTTCAAAGGTTTTAAGCAGACCATATATAAAGATTTTATTTTTATAATTACATGTACTAATTAATATAAATATTAATTAAAAATAAATACTTATCATGATTTGATGCTTACATAAAAAGTTATTGTATTAATTAATTTACATAAATATTAACTTAAATTAATGATATTATCTATAATTTAATTTAATTTAATAAATGTTTTATGTAATATTTTATTAATTAATAATAAGATTTTTATATACAAGAAGTATCATTCAATTAATCTAAAATTGGTTAATAAAAAAATTTAATTTAGAAATTGTATTTTATTAGTTTAATAAAATATTAATTAATATGTAGCAAAGATATTAATATATAATATAGATGGTTAAGTATGATTTGATTAATTTGATTGTAATGAGGCAATATGTATTAATTTCATCACCAATAATTATTGTTAAATCTAATATGAGTTAACAATTTTTAATTTCTACATAAGTATAAAAACAATTCATCAATATTTAATCAAATTTAATTAAAAGTTAATCCATTTTTTTATCAATGGTTATTTCTTCATATACTATTAGTCTTGTGAATCTTCTTTGTTAATATGATATCGTCATAACTTCATGACCACAAAAAATTATTCTGTGCGGACATCAAATGTTGTTTATAGATCAATAAAAAAGCACCAATCATTCTTTTATTGTACTGCGGCTCGGTACTGCTCGGTACCACGGCTCAGTATCGCTCGGTATCGAGGCTCGGTACCGCGGCATCCGAACATATAGCTGCGTCCGGCATCTGTATTGAATAATTTCTCCATGATCACACATCACCAATCTCATTGATGTTCTTCTACATGAGATATTACCGTGATTTTCTTATTTTTTTTTTTCTATGATAAGATTTCACAATGATCAATCACAACCTCCTCATTATAGACGATGACTTTGATAATGAACTTAGTGAAAGTTAATCGTATATTATATTATATAAATAATAATATATAAGTTAAATATATAAACAAGATAGTTTTGAATGTTATTTTATATGTTCTTTTTTATTTTGATTTATGCATTATATGCAAATATTTATTGTCTTTTATTCCTGGCCAGCCCAATCCCAATGTAGGGTTTTTAGTAGCCCAACTTCCCCTGGCACATAGATACGGCGGAAAAAAAAAAAAAAAAAACAAACAAACCCTAAAATAAACGGGCTCTTATCGTTTTACAATCTTCCTCGCTAGCTGAGCTGAATCGAAAGATTTCCAACGCCAACGCATCGAAGGCGAAACCTTGAGGTGATCACACCCTCCGATACTAGTCATCTTTAATTTCCTCTTCCTCTTTCTTCCTCGTAGTTTCTGCTTCCTCGCAACTAATATTAGGAGCAGGGCTAGGGTTTCACTTTCACTTCCTCTTCGCTTCACTTGGGAGGTTTAAGCGTGATAGCAAGGTCTCTTGTTTCCTCGGATTGACTCTACTGTAAATGAATGATCTTTGGCATTCCTTTTGGTTTTGGCTCCCTGGAAACAAAAGGAATCCATGGTCTTCAAATGCCTTTCATTTGTGAGGGCGTTTAAAGATTTTATTTTGTAAGCCAAGGATACCACTTTCCGAGGGCTTCTCCGTTTGCTCAAACTGAAGCTTATATTCTTCATCTCAATTCCGATTTTCGTAATATATAAAATCAAGATTTCTTTGGCGTGTTTAAGCTGCATTTTCAGTTATTTTCAGGTATGCATTCAGTAGGATGATCTTATCATCTCTGGGCATTGAATTTGATCCATCTGTTATTGTTTCTTCTCCTTCTATTTACAATGAAATGTGTGCGAGTTCTGCAAGAATCAATTTTATCCGCATATTGCTTGTGGGAACTTATCAAATTTGCAGCTTACACTTTTAAAGGTGGCGTGATTTAGTTTCTTGATGTGGAAAATGGCTTTTGTTATTTATTTTATTTTTTTGCTTATGTGAATTTAGGTTATTAAGAGTGTTTACATATTGGTGGTTGTAAAATGAGAAGGTCAGGGCAGTATGGGGATGCTGGTGTGAATCCTATGATGGCTGCACAGATGCAACAAATGTCAGCACAGAGAATGCAGTATAACTCAGGAGTGGGAAATTTTTCGGGACATGCAGATGAAGAGCATCAGTATATCTCTTCAAAAGCTGAGAGGCAGTGGCAGTGGGATATGGATGGTCCTAAAGGAGCAAAACCTATGTCACCTAATATGTATAAGGAAGGTACGTACAAAGTTAGCTTGAGGGGTAAAATCTATTGCATCTTTGAATCATTTGAAGTCATGACAATGGTTCTAAACAAGAATTCCATATTTCAAATTTGTTGTTTTTTTCTCTTGCTCTCATTTTTGAGGTTTTTGAGGAACATCATTTAATGCCTCATATGTTATCGGTTGAAATTAGCTCTACTTACACTAGGTTGTTATTTGATTCCACTGGCAATGCAATTCATGTGCACTGATTCGTAATTTTGTGTCCTAGTTCGTTTTAAGTGTAAAAATATGCCTATAATGTTGGCTTTTATATAAATGAGATGTGTTCTCTTGTTATTTTGAATAGTCTATTAGGTCTAAGCCATTATTGCATGGTTTTAAATGCAACAACAACAACAACAAGCCTAACCCTTTAGGCGAGGTTGGCTACATGAATCATTTTTTTCCATTGTGTCCTGTTAAGAGTCAAATTCTCATTTAAATCTAATAAATTAAGGTAATTTCTAATATTTTCTAACCAAGTCTTTTTAGTTCTATCTCTACCTTGCTTAACATAAGTCAAATCTAATACATCTACTTTCTTAACCGGGTCATCGGAAGGCCGTTGTTTTAGGCGACCAAACCATCTAAGGCGACTCTTTCTAATCTTATCTTCCATTGGAGCTGCTCCAACCTTTCACGTATATGCTCATTTTGTACCCTCTATGAGTAAAGTCATTCATCCAGTTGAGCATCCTCATCTCTGTAACACTTAACTAAATATCATGCTTCTCTTTTAATGGCCAATTGCATGGTTTTAAATAAACCCCATTAAATTCCAATTAATATGTATCGAATACCAAATCATTATTGCAGTATAAAATGCTAGCTACTACCTATTACTATCTCTATTTCTCCACTAATTAGTTGTTTAATTCTTCGCCTTGATTGTTGTTGTTACACTATGCTGTGGCTCACTGTGCTGTTGTTATCTCCATTTCACTAATGTCACTATGCTGTTGTTCATGTTGTCGTTTACATTTCTCATTATACTGTAGCAAACCCACCCTTTGCTATTGTCGCCTTATGGATTTTCCACTGTATTCTGTAAGCCCACTTCTCTTTATGCTACTATTCCACTATTAACTTCACAATTACTATCCACCTTATAATTTCACATCTCTATGCTGTGTATTTCTTATGCTATGCAGCTGTTGCCTTTTTTCGCTAATGCACTTTTTCACCAATGTTGGCTGCTTTCTAGTTCATGTACATGGCCGCCAGGCTCTTTACTTTCCACTAATAGCAGCAACTATTGTCTTGAACCCTTGTCATCTCTTTGTTTTGTGATTTTACCTTTCTTATTTTTGTGGTCCTCAAAGCAATTCAAGAAATTGGGTTTATGATAAGTTTGATATTGTTGGAATTCAAGAGTAGTGAATTAAAACCATTTTTTTAAGATCTTGGCAAAGATTGTGAATTTTATTATTTAGGTCCTTTGTCGGTTATAAATAGTACTTATAAGGTATGTAAAATTCAATGGACATTGAATACCGATATACAATTTTAACTTTTTTCTCTTAGCGTCTGTACTTGTTGGATGTGAGTTCTTCGAGAGTTCGAGTGCTTCATAGGTGTAGAGAACGGCTTTTAACAGTCCTTGTATTTGGAATGAAACATAGTTCTTCCCTTTCAAGTGATTTCTATCTTTATTCTTGTCTTCTAAATTGACCAATCGCTGGTTTTTGAATGGTTATTAAGATTTTGTCATGTAAGATACATGTTGAATTTTCTTTTGAAGCATAAATTTAATTCATTGTTGAAGTTGTCTGTCTCTTTTTTTTTTCTTGTTAAATTTCAGATCTATGTTATTATTAAATTATATTTCAGAATAAGAAAAACTTAGGTTGCATTAAAAACCCTTCTACACCAGTTTTGTATTAGAGTTTAAGGTTGTGTCACCATGTAAACCAAAAGGACATAATATGTTGCTCAATAAAAAAATGAGTAAGTTACGATTTTGATCGAACATATTATAACTATATGAAGATATGTTCCTACATTTAATGAGAGGTATGATCTCGAATAATTTTTTGATTAGATTGATTATTTGGAATGCTTATTTGAGTATTACTATCTATCTAATTTTGATTGTCTTTACTTTGCTAAATTTAAATTATTAGGTCATGCTCAATCATTTTGGCAATACATTACAAATGAACTGAAATCTACATATAGTGACCTAAAACATAAACTTACAGAGAAATATATATCATTTGTTTAATATAGAAATCAATTGAATGAACAATGTAGACACTGTAAGCAAAGTTAATATCATGCATACAAATACTCTAATAAGTGTATAAGTCTTGTAGTTAAGCATCATTTACCTCAAAACTCTTTTGTTACCATTTTTTATTTCATTACATGCCTTGGGCAAGAAATTAAAAATAGATTGAGCGGCATTACACAGTAAACAATAGCTGATCTTTTAATATATCTTTGAATGTTGTGACATGTTTTGAAAATTCCATTAAGAATATCACATCCATAAGTAAAAACGTAAATGGAAATCATTTCCTGCTCCTCTAAAGCTTTATAACAATATGATTAAAAATGGGACTGAACACCAAGGTTAGTTAATTGATCATCTAAAGAATAAGATTTTGAGCTTGCACGAATAATTGAAACAATTTCAAGCAAAAATATACCAAATGATCAATAAAATTAATCAAGTTTAAGTTCCCATGGAAAAAATCATTATCTTCTCATCTCAGAAGTGTCAACCATAAACAGACTAAAAAAGTCATGCATCAACAAACTTGATTATATCCTACCGAGTACCGACAAATTGTTATATTTTAATATCTTTTGAAGATGAATTAGATAAAGATTTATAGTTGAAGTTGAATTCTTTTGAAGAGACAAAGCTTAATTATGCAAATTCATCAGCACATATTCTAGAATATGCATCTAAATAAGAGTCGAAGTATGAATCTAAGATTGATTTTGAATTACTATCTAATTGTGAAATCCGAATTTGTTCTCGCGCTGGAATTTATTTATGATCCTGATCCAGCACATGAGGATGAATTACAACTTTAAGTTAAAGATGAAATCAATTACAAAGCTAAACCTTCCATAGAAATTGAAATTGAATATGAGATTGATCCAAAATCTAAATATCTATTGAATTTGAGCTTGACATTCAAATCAAACAGCAAATCTTATCTTAACCTAAAGTAGAACCGAAAACTAATTCTATTTTTGAAGATTGAGCTTCTATGTGAAATTAAGCTGATAGGAATCCAATCTCTCAACAAGAACAACAATAACGAAGAGAAAACACCGTTGAAATCAACGAGAGAGATTTTTATTTTAGCAAAACAAACTAAGATACAAGTTGATCTACTATTCGAGAGGTAGATCGGCCCTCCACAAACGCTAGGCGCCGCTAGGAATAACTCCAAAGAAAATTACAGCAAAGCATAATTCACATAATCAAACTAAAACAATCCAATTAGCCATAATATAAACATTCATATTTCCCTTCCAAATCTGAATTCAAATTAGCCATCTTTTCCTAGATAAACATTTCCTAATTCTATCTCAAATCTGAATTCAAATCAGCCCTCTTTCCCTAAACAAACCTTTCCTAATTCCCTCTCAATTTTAGTTTTGTATGGTAACTTGGTAAGTAATTAAAGGTGTAATTATTCCCCTATGAGCCCCTCTCTCTTCTTGCCTGCAACCCACTCTAGTGGGGCCCACTGGCTCAACCGTTGGTCCATCATAAGTTTTCAAAAGAGATTGAATCTACGCTTGCATGTGAAGTTTAACAAGTTATTGTTGTTGTACTTGTAGAGTTGATTGGTTAGGTTTATAAGTTATTCTTAAATGTTAAAGTAAATAAATTATTCTTATTGAATATGATAAATTAGGAAACACTTATTTACCACTATTGTAAATTTTAACTAAGTTTTTCCATTAATAATATTGAAATTGATTTTCATTTTGGATCTTTGTTTCTTTGGCTTCTTTAGATAGAAATTCATAAAGAGAGATTTAGGAGAACATGAAACTCCATCAATGTTTTAATGAATTTGCAAATATTAGATACATAAAAGAAAATTGAATGCTAAATTTTGGTATAATATTAATATTTAGGTCAATTATAAGGGTAGCTTTTTTTAAGGAGTAAGGCTGCAAATAAATCAAGCCGAGCCTAGCGGGTACCTGCTCATATTTGAGCTCGTTTATTATTAGCTTGTTCAAGCTTGATTTGAGTTTTTCTATATGTATTCAAGTTTGTTTCATTTAAGAATGATAGATATTCATGTTTAATTTGTATTTGGTTCTTTGTTCTATTTTGCATTTATCGAGCTTTAAATAAACGAGCCTTAATTGATTTATTAATGAGCTTTATTTTTAGATGTTCATTACCTTAGCAAATGAGTCTACTAAAAAACAATTACATAGAGTTAGTTTACAAACATATCTAATGATTATTCTCAAGCTAACAAACGAGTTCACAAACAAACATGCGTAGAAAATGATTCTTTTTATAAATGAGAAAAATTAAACAAGAATGAACAATACCTCTTTTTCATGAATAAATTCATTCTAATGAAAGAATATATCATAAAAAGTAAAATTAAATTTTTTATGAAATAATAATCATTTATAATAAATTACAAGCAATCTATAATACAAAATTTATCAAGACTTCTATCAAAGAACACATCGATGTTATTGCATGAAGGTTTGTGTCAAAGTAATCATTCAAAATTTTGTAAGTTTATAATTCTTAAATTAAAATTTAAAATATATTGAATTAATATTAATTAATTTTAAATTATTAATTAATGATTAATTATGATTTTAATTTATAATAAATATAAATTATTCATTTTAATTAATTTACTTTTTTTGTAGTAAGACATAATATGAGTTTCTTAAAGATATTATTCACGGTCTATTTATCAAAGTTCTTAATGAGCTTTAATTGATATTATTTATGAACATAAACAAGCTGAACAATGATTGTTCAAGCTTATTTATTTAATAATTGAGTACTTTAAAAATTATTCAAACTTATTTGATTACTTAAACAAACGATTATGAATGAACTATAATCGAGCCAAACCATGAGTAGCTTGTTAACTGCTCTGTTCTATTAAGGAGGTTTATTTGTCCATATGAGCATTTCATGTTTGTGTGGTTTGCATGTTTTCAAATTTTGTTATCTTCTTATAATATAAGGATAGGATATAAATTAATATCAGTAGTCATTAGGACATATATTGGCATTCTAATATTTTCATTTTTTGTTCTAATGTTATTTGCATAATTTGCACTACTTGTATGGTGTGCACGGGTAGATTCATAGTAAAGTAACATCTAATTATGGCAATTACAATTCTGTTGTTGATATAAACATGAGATGTGGATTTTAAACTTGGAGATCTGGTAATGGTTTAACTTATCCTATGATGCTAATTCTTATATGAACAAGCTTGTTCTCTAATATTTTGAAATTTATTAGGTCTAAACTCATGATTAGATGGTTTTAACTTATCCTATTATAGTCTAATCAACATATGAAATTCATGATTATTACTAACTGTGAAGTATTAACTACTACCCATTACTATTTCTATTTCTCAACACAATTTTCCACCTTGATTTCTACCATTTCACTGTATCATTGCTAGCGTTATCTCCTTGTTGCTACTGTTCCTATGTTTTCCTATTGTTGATTGCTCTATTTGTGCTGCATTGTTGTTTTTGTTTTCTGCTATATTGTAGAAATCAACTTTTTTTTTGTTGTTAACATGTTTTGGATTTACCACTATTTCGTATAGTCTTGCCTCTGAATTATGCTTATTATCGCCACCACCGATGCCCGTCTTCTGATTTCTCACTTTTGTGTTGTGGCCCCTCGTTATTTTGTAGAAAGTAGAATGTGTTGTGCCACCATACCTTCTCTCTCTAATGCACTTTGCCACTTCTATTGTATTCTTTCTCGTCTACTGCTTTTCACTAATTGATGCAGCTCTATTTCATGCCTTGCTGTATCTTTGCCGCCTATTTTGCTGAGTTTTTATAGTAATTCTATGTGAAGTTTGCTGTTATAGGAATTCAAAAGGTGTGAGTTGAAACTTGTTTTTTTGAATAGATCTTAATTTTTTTTAGAAATTTCTTATTTTGGATCCTTTTTATGATCTGAATAAAATCCCCGAGACTTGTAAAAATTATTGGATGTTGAATACTTGAATAAAATTTTAGTTTCTCTTTATTTGTCCATTTTGTTGTAAGTTCTTTGAGTGCTTCATGGGTTTAGATAACTATTTCTAGGGGGCTCATTGCACTAACATGAGATGTGAATCTT